TAGTAGTAGTAGTAGTAGTAGTAGTAGTAGTAGTAGTAGTAGTAGTAACAGTAGTAACAGTAGTAACAGTAGTAACAGTAGTAACAGTAGTAACAGTAGTAACCGTGGTAACCGTAGCAACAGTAGTAACAGTAGTAACAGTAGTAACCGTGGTAACCGTAGCAACAGTAGTAACAGTAGTAACAGTAGTAACAGTAGTAACCGTAGTAACAGTAGTAACAGTAGTAACAGTAGTAACAGTAGTAACAGTAGTAACAGTAGTAACCGTGGTAACCGTAGCAACAGTAGTAACAGTAGTAACAGTATGGAACATTTCTGCGATTTTGTATGATTTTGTTATTCACTTCTATGTGACTAATTGGGTTTCAACATTAGTCTCAACGACGAGCGTCTGCAATGCTGGCGCAGTCCCGGGGAACACAAATGGCAAAGCGCAAGTAGGGCCAAATCAGCTGATCCAAATGCTCATGGAAATAGCTTCCTCAGGAACGTAACTTGGGCACATCTTCTTCAGATGGGTGCGGCCATTTTTTTCCTCCATGTGTCCGACCAAGGCATCAAACATTGAAATCATTTAAATGAGCCTCGAGTTGCAACTCCCAACTCCCAGACGCAGTTTTGAAGTTGCAATTGAAGCAGCTCAAACTCTCCAATGGCTACTTTTACTTGCACCGTTCGCCTATTTGCATACCTAGCACTTCCTGTCTGGAGACCGACCTAGCACTTTCGGTCGCGGAGTTCGTCGCGGAGAAAAACGTGGTCCAGCCAGGTGACCCGTTAGGACGACCACCAGTCACAGGGCCATGGAGGTCTTTCCCTTCTCCGAAGACACAGCAAACTGTTAATGGTTCCAGGGAGGGGTGTTGCACCAAATCACAAACACCGACAAACACCATATTTCATCACATATCATTGAATAACTATACACATATAACTACTATGGTTAATAGTAGTTGTCTTGTCTTGTCTACCACCCGCCCTCGCCGAGGCTCCCTCCGCGGCCACGCGCCGCACGAGGCCACGCACTGCCCGGCGCCGCAGCCACTGCAGCTCCCCGCAGAAGGCGCTATCGCGGTCGCCCGGAAAGTCCATAGTCAGGATGAGTGAGCTGTGGAGAGGTAGTGGCAAGGCATAGGTTTTTGGAGCTATGAAAAGAGGTAGTTACTGCGGGGTGTGCTTTTTCAGCGTGATTTGGGGGTGATGGTGGAAGATCCATTTTCGATGACACGAGCCATGCAAAGAAAGCAAACTTGGGCGGGTTAGGTCTCAAATAAAAGACGAAGGGGAGGTGCCCCACCTCACTACACTATTTTTTCTGGATCGCTGTGATTGAGTACTACAATATTGCTACAGAATGAAGCCATTGACTGCGGTCAGTTGCGCTTGGTTGTGCTGCAAATGTGTTTTCATCAGCCAATGGCTTGTGTTGCAAAAAATCGGCTGCACCAGGTGTGGTTGTGCTTCCAAGAAACCGTGGACAGTTTTGCCCAATAGGAATCGACATCACAGCCAGGTACTCAGCTCTAGTCATAGACGCATCCCTGCAGAAGTCTTGTCAATCTTTTCAGTCTTCATGAAACTCCCAAGGTGAATTATGCTATATATAAACTATATAGTTCCTTAAAGGTTAACATTTCCTTAATGTACAATGTATTATATCAGATTCTTTGAACATGTTTGCCTTTTCATCTCCAAAAGCAGCCAAGTCCGGCAAAATGTTTTGCAGTGTTGGAAGATCTACACTCCCTGAAACAATAATGGAAGTGGAATCGAGCCTGTTCATAGAGCAAGAGGCCATACTCCACTTCCATGTTGGTTGGATGGAAGGGTATATACGGTATATATATATATAAGTCCATTTCGTTGTATTTGGGTGTCATCTCATTGCATTTGGGTGTTATGATTTCTACTTCTCCTAGTAACGGATCAAAAGTTATATATTCTCCTATAGTATATATATATGTATATATTCTACATAGGTATAAAAATGCATTATATCTTTCCTCCCAAATGGAGGAATCCTCGCGCAGGATCTGCGATCGCTTCAGTGGTCAAGAGCGATCGCTTCAGTGGTCAACTGCGCTCTTGACATAGATCTGAAGATCCTTCCCAGAAAAAGACCCTGGAAACTATACAAGACCCAAACCAGAGCAACTGAACCCGACGTCTCAAAAGCTGGAGTCGAGATGACATTAGTGAAACCAAAAAGACTCGTGGCACTCACATGGAGGGCCCAGAGTGGTGTGGCTCGTCCCATTGCGGCATCGGTTCCCCGGCACCCTCTGGTGATTCTGTGGTTCCACGTCATCGATCGAGTTGATCAGCAGAACCGAACTGTTCAACCGCTGGATCTTTGTTTCCACGCTGGATCTTTGAGTTTCTTTGGAAACAGTTGATTTCTGCTCTTGGAAACGGTTTCCGAATGATTTGGAGGCATTGTGTTGAGGCATGAGGACAAAAAGATGTTGAATTCCCAATTTGAGGTTCCATTCCCAAGCAACTGAGCGGGAATGTAGCACCTTTAAGAGGTCTCATCAAACCAAAAGCACTACCCGTTGGCTCATGCGCTCTCTCTCTCTCTCTCGTTCCGTTGGGCGTCCGGGCAGGTAGTAGCTCTGCATGATGAAGGTCTCCGAGCCCATGCCCGGGTGCACCCGGACCAGGCCGGGCATCACCTGCCCGAGCGAAGACGGCGAAGACGGGCGGGTGGCGGGGGATGGGAAGCTTCCGGGGAGGTGCGGCTGCTGACCACGAGAGGGTTCGGGTTCTGTCTCACTATATCACGCCCTCTCTTCTGCCCATGTTCAGGATGAAAAGCCACGTGAACGAGAGATCAAAAGAACTTTATAAGCTTAGGTCCTCCAGCGTTGGGGAATTTGGGTTGTTTTGGGGCCAGTGCTCACGTTGAACCCATGTGACCCTGGTTTTGAGACCACCCGGGGTGCTGATTGAGCAAAACACTATAAAGCACATGCATGCGTCGATGACCATGGTCATTGGGCACCACACCACGACTCGGTCACGAGCCCATGTTGTTTGGGTCCAGACTGGGGGCCCCTGGTTACCACCCCCACGCATCAACAGCACAAAGGACGCGATCAGGGATGAAGCGGCCCTCAGGTTTTGACTCACATTTGGTCGGTGACCCAGGTCGAATTGTCCGAGGGCAAGTAACGTTGTGGACTTGGAGGGGACGATGACTAGAACAGGCCGGTCAGACTCCGGTCAGAGGACGTCTCGGTCGGACTTGATTCAAAGGTATCTGACTGTACATCTCTGCAAATACCCGTGTGAAGGTATGTCTCAACCGCATAGTCCTGCTTTCTCATTTTCGAGCTCTTTCTCTCTGACGATGCTGTCATGTGACTTCCACCTGCCCTGGCTTTGAGGATGAGTGATGCTTGCCACCACGTACTTTCAGTGCTCTTGAGGTGATACTCCCCAGCCCCCGAAGCATCTCTGAAGGCAACCCACAACATCGGGTGCAAAAAGAGCTGAGTCACGACATAACTCCCCAAACACTGGGGACAAAAAGAAATGCAAAGAACACATCAACAGGAAAAGGAACCAAACCCAACACCCAAACAACAGAAAACACCACCTGCTCCAGCCTTTCTTCGACATTTCCATGCTTTTCCCACTTCACCTGCTCCACCTCCCAGCTACAACTTACCCTCCCTCCTTTTTCCCGCCTGGCGAAAGGTGGAATTCGTTCGCATCGACCAGCTCCAGGCATTGCTCACTAACCCCACCAACGTCCGCACCTCACCGGCGCGCGGGGTCCAGTCCGCCCGGACCGAGCAGCAAAGCTCCGTTCGGCAGCCCGGATGTTGGGACCTATTTCGACCATCCAGTGATCACCCTCACATCCGATCCACGGTGTACCTCAGGTTTGGTACGACTGGGAAAAAAGGACTTCGAATGGCCTTTAGCTGGTCCGAAAAGGGCTTTCCGTGAAAGTTCCTCCAGTTCGCCTTCTTGGCATGGCCCAAACCAACAGAACCATATCCTCGGCGGTAAGACCCGCCAAACCCACCCCAACCACCTTCGAAACGGGGGTCGTTGGAGCTTGAGGGCCCACATCTGCCAAGTCCAACCAGGCCAAGTCCAACCAGAACGAAGGATGAAGAACCCAGCTTGACACACTCCCCCCCCTTTTCAGAGTCACGAGCGGATGCCAGCACCGTGCCGGCCGCGAATGGGTTCCGAGCGGTTTGCGCGGAGCGAGCGAGCGCGGAGCGAGCTTGGACCAGGCGGGGTGCCACTGTGAGTGGTGCCCCTGTCATCTCACATCCACAATGGACGGGACATGACTGGATGGGACAAACAGTGGAGTGCTCGGCATATTGGGGGAGTGGAGTGGAGATGCTCAACCGGACACCGAGGTGTCTACCATAGAACCTGAATGACCTCTATTTTGGACCACCCACCACCGTCCAACTTCCTATCAAGAGGGCTCAAATGGTCATAGTGTGCTTCCAGGCGTCAACCACCGCCTCGTAGAGAGGTCCTCTCTACCCAAAGAGCCACCACACCAAGGAACGGACGACCGGCAGGAGATCCGGCCTGCTGAAAGATGTCCATGACATTGGCAACTCCTGAGCCGTCGTGTGCGTCGATCGCGCGGCCACGTGCGCCGCGAGAGAACACTCGCGCGGACCCCCTGTGGCCCTGTTGCCGCTGCGCCGTTTCGGCAGTGCTCTCAGCCGGTACTGCAACCGCGCTGATAGCCTGAACATTTGGGTTTCCCATGGGTTTTTCCCGCACATTTCCCACAGGAGTTACACAAGCTGTAAACCGATCTATGCAGCACCAAAGGACACCGATTCGTGATCACACCATGACCAACAGCCCCCGGTCACACCATCTCACTCCTGGCCGTTTCTCCCACTTCGGCCGACCTACGGCGGCTGGGCTGGGCTCCCCGGGCGGAGGTACAACCCCTCCTTGGGCATTCGGACAGACTTCCGACGCCATGCCTGGCGGGGCCCGGCGGCATTCCGGGAGACCACGTGCCCCGGGAGAAGTCCAGGCCAAGAATCGGTAGTTGAAATCCGAAGATGGCGAGAGCATGTGATAGAAGTAGTCCTTTTTGGAACATCAGGGTCTCTGGCGAAGGAGTTGGGGTCCCGATGAAAAGCGTTGCGAACTAGGAACGGCAGTGTTTGAATGATGTTCGGTCCTTTCAAAGCTTTGCCACGTGATGCATCCGCCCCCGTCTCGTCGTTCGGGCCCTTTTTGCGTTGCTCCATTCTCCGGCGGAAGGCCATTCTCCGCTCAAAGGCCATCCGTTCCTGGGAGGAGACAAACACGCACAAGAGGAAACTGTTCCAAATTCCTCTTCAATACGTCTCGGGCCAAGAATATTCCATGATGTTGGGAACACCATGCACCTGGAAACCCAAACAACCAGAAGCAAATGGTTGTTCCAATCCTTTACATATTGGTTTCCCAGGCAGAAATGTGTCAAGTGAATGTGGATTGGACTATGCAAACCCCGTCAACACCAATGGAAACTTGATGCCGAGGGTAGGTGACGAAAGCTAGCAGGGATGCATCCGTGTCAGTGGAGGCGAAGCATACAGCGCGGTCCAGTGACAAAGGACTGGTGGGACATCAAGCGGAGTGAGGCAAATCTTTTTTCATAGGCATGGGGCTGTTTGTTGGAGGGATGGTTCACAAGGTCTCGCTCATGAGGCAAAACGTTGTGAACATGTAGTAAGACACACGAACAGCAATGACACAGCCAACCTTAGCTTGTGAATCTGTTGAATCTGTTGCATCGTATCCCAAAACCTCCACGGAGGAGTTGAACCAAAGTGGATGCCATAAGAGGTGTCCAAGAGGTGTCCGCCCCAGAGGCGTCCCAGGGGGGAGTCGAACCCGCGGGGGGGGCCCCCTCTACATATAAAGTTTTCACGTGATGCGGCGATCTCGAGGATTCCAGCCCCTCACTTGCTAAAGCAAGGATAACTCCAGCTAGCTGATGCTAGCTTTTGTGAAAAGCAAACATACACCAAACACCGCACCCTTGGGTATTTGGACCAACGGGGTGCAGGGTCTCACTATTGAAATACATTACAGGGAACATGAATTGAAGGTATTTAGAATATACCAGCACCACGCAAAGAGTGGTTTATAGACCCCCCATGAAGATGTATTTTCCATCTAATAACCACCCTTTGGGTGGTGCTGGTAGACTAAACTATACTAAACGCTGCACCCTCCCGATGACACAACACATGCCTAGCCCTGAAATCATCACGTTTCCGTGGAGGTAACCCCTGGACAAGTAGGCTCTTCGGAAGACTCATGGTCATCGAATTTCGGGGGGCCATGCCAAGCCATCCACGTGGGCGCACCATGAGATCCCTAGTCTGCCAACCACCACAGATTTAAATGGTCTAAGTCTTTACCAAAGAACAATTGTTTTAGCCAAGGATTTTACACTAATTACAAAAGCAGCTCAACCATTTTTCCCCAACAGCAGCATGCTTTGGGGTAGTCAGCCATAGTAAAGGTTTCGGAGCAAGCCGGAGCAGCTCCCAAAGACATTCCCCAGGTTCCCACAAGGTTCGCGCAAGGTTCCAAGGTTCCCGCCAGGTTCCCACAAGGTTCCCAAGGTTCCCCCAAGGTTCCCACAGCTTTGCTCCAACGTTCCCACAAGGTTCCCACAGTTTTGTTCCACAAGGTTCCCACAACTTTGTTCCACAAGGTTCCCACAACTTTGCCCCACAAGGTTCCCGCCAGGTTCCCACAAGGTTCCCACAACTTTGCCCCACAAGGTTCCCGCCAGGTTCCCACAAGGTTCCTGCAAGGTTCCCAAAGTTCCCAAGGTTCCCACAACTTTGTTCCACAAGGTTCCGCCAAGGTTCCCACAGCTTTGCTCCAACGTTCCTATGAGGTTCCCACAAGTTTGCTCCAAGGTTCCCACAGCTTTGCTCCAAGGTTGCCCCAAGGTTCCCACAGCTTTGCTCCAATGTTCCCACAAGCTTCCCACAACTTTGCTGCAAGGTTCCCAGAAGCTTCCCACAACTTTGCCCACTTTGCTTCAAGCTTCCCACAAGGGACCAAAGGTTCCCACAGCTTTGCTCCAAGGTT